CCTTACTTTTCCTCTTCTTAGGCCATGGTCTTGTGCTTCAAGTTGTACTTCATTAAAGATGCAACAATCTGTACAACAGCAGCAGCAACTGTGAGGCAGATGGTGTCAGTGATATTTGAAAGAGTTATTACTGAGGATAAACAAGGCCTGGGTACTAATGCTCTTTGACCTATGCACTTAATAACTCTGAACTTTTACTTACCTTTAATTTTTAAATTAAACTACTGATCGTGTGACACCCTCAAGAATCCAGGGCTGTTCTTCTTAAGAAATGACTGGGTATTAATAACTTGTAGCACTTGTGGTTGTGAAAAGTGCCACCCTGGAATTTTAGTCAATGAGTTTGTACATATATACATGTGAGATACATGTTATAAGAAACTCTACCATACTATTAACCCTAAAAGCTAGTAGGCTGAACTCTGAATTGAGAGGTCTGGGTTCAAGACCTATTGTACTCTTGGGCACCTAGAAGTTATAAATGGGTACCAGCAGTCAGTCAGGGTAGTGTGAAGCATCTTATCATAGAGAGTCGAAGGGATAAGAACTTCAAAAATTATCAAAATTATTAAATTTTTTCAGTGTCAGCCTGTTGTGATAGTCTGTATTGTAAATTTTCCAGCTTCTCAGGATGTAGAAGAAACAGCAGGTTCAGTGCGACACAAGAACTGTCCAGTCAGTCTGCACCCATGTGGAAGGGATGCTTATCTTCTATTTCAGGTATATACATACCTCTTAATAACCAAGTTTGAGGTCTGTACTGTAACTTGTGGACTTAGTTTTTGCTCAGATTTATGGCCCTAGCCTGAAGCCTACAAGCCACAAATCAGAGCAGAAAAAATGAGGTTTTGTAACTTATAGTATGGAATGAGGAAAAGAAGTTAATTATGTGTTTGAGTTCAAATAGAGAGTGAATAATAATTAATCAATTCAAACAAACTTTTGAATTTAGCAGGCCGCACAGTGAAATACATCCTGCTACATTGACCAATCATGGTGTATGTACAAACTGAGTATGGAACACACAAATTTAGAAGGTTTTGATATCAAAAGCTTCCTTGGAAATTTATATTGTCTGTGATAGTTAACAACTTCCCTGTGAATTTTATTTTAGGACTTATGCCAACTGACAAATGGTGAACAACCTTACTGGTTGAATGGTATCAATGAGATGACAAGAACATTTGGATTAGAGCTGCTTGAAAGTGTGCTCAGAGGTTACCCGAATATATTTCTCAAGGTAAATTGAATTCTATGCTATCCAGGGCCCAGTTGTGCAAAGGGTAGCTAACACTATCCAAGGGATAAATCACTATCTTGGGGATGAGTGACTATAAAACATACTGCACTATTCTATGGATAGAGATTTATCCAGTGGATAGTGTCATCTGACCTCCGAAAAACCAGGGTCAGATGTTAAAAACAATAAGGCACCAAGATCACAAGTTAAGATGTTTCATGAGAGATCTGAAACCCACAATTATGATGCAAGGATTGATAACAATATAAACCTCCCGAAGTGCTGCAAAAATTACTTTCCAGAAAGTTTTCCAAGTAGAAATTAATCATTATTTTTTAAGTTTTCTGTAGCAGTTGACGTCTTGTTTATGATAGTTTGGACATAGGTAATATAGAGTAATCTGTATTTGTTTTTCAGTTTTTAATCATTGTTGTAATTTGGCCCAAAGATTCCTATTGGGGAGTCCCAGTAAAGATGTTGTATTGTATTTTATTGCATTCATAAAGGGCTGATTACCATCATCTCTTCAAACTCTGCAATTGGAGTAAGACATGATGTAATCATCAATCAGGCTGAGAAAGCACAACTCTTATCCATCAGTTTTAAAATCATTTAGCTCTGTTTTTTTTTTCTTCAGCATCCAGAGTTCAGCTTCCTTCTGAAGGAAAGGGTATGCCCTCTAATTATCAAGTTGTTCTCTCCAAGCATCAAACATCGCATAAGCTCCACTCCGTTAGAAAAGCCTCTTTATCCAGTGGCCGTTAGACTTCTGAGAATTGTTTCTGTCCTGATCGAGAAATTTTACACTCTTCTGGTGAGCTGTTTAATTTTTATATTTAATTTCATAGATTTCATTTTAGTCGTAAAAGAACAGTAATGGAATGATTCCTTGAACATGACTTACATGTACCCTCTTACAATTAGCATGTAGAAATACAGATCTGATGTTTTTGCACTAACTGATGTATCAAGTTGTCTTTTGGAGAGTTGCAACATTCAACAGGGAACTTAATGTACTTTCCCCTGTTACACCTTAACATCAGTATCTACATTCTCCATACTCTCCTCTAAATGTTTCTTTTGGTACTGATAAGGAGAATTTGTTTAATAATCAAAGCCTCTTAGGTTGGCAATCATTTCTTTTTCTCTAATAATCTTAATGTATGATTCAACATTATTTCTGTTAGGAGAAATTAAATGATGATCACTCTTAGTGTTTAAAGGGTTGAATATTATTTTTTAATTTAGATGTTAACTTGCATTAAAAAGTGCTTGAGAGGTGGTAAATGACAGGGCTGATGGTTGATAGCAGCTTGAAACTTAAAGTGTTTGAAATACATGTACAGTACCTTGACATAAGGATTGACTGTACTTGCTATCAAAAAGTTCAATGTATGAACCAAGATTAACTTTTTCTTGGATATTTTTGGTTATATTGCAGGTAACAGAATGCGAGATATTTCTTTCTCTATTGGTGAAGTTCTTGGAGCCAGACAAACCTCAGTGGCAAAGAGCATTGGCTCTTGAAGTTCTTCATACCCTTACCATCCAGCCAGCCTTGCTGAGGTAAGTTATTGTTGAATCCTCTCGCTTTAACCCTTAAACTCCCAGAAGTGATTAACATGAAACTTCTCCCTATAATATCCATACATTCTTCAGCAAACAGGTAATGAGAATATTCAAACTTATCAGGTAGAAGCTGCTATCTTGATCTAGCACCAAGTTCTCATAACTAATCTACAAGGAAATGTGTAGCAGCTAGAGGGGAGAATTAATAATCAGATCAGATTCAAATTATTAGCCACTTTAAAACTCTTATTTCATGCTGTAAATACAGTTAAATGTTGCACTAAATTTTGAGGGCAACTTTACATTTTGTTCTGAGTCTATTTGAACTGCAAGAAGAATTCTTAGTTAGGAATTTGGGTCTTAGAAGTATGCAACAGGGCTAAAAATAATTCATTTTTTGGAGAGTTGGCAGTTATGCTGGCTGGCCGAACAAATTTTAGCTCGGTCTCATATCTTTTCTGACCTGTCAAATATTTAAACTTTTGATTTTTAAATAATGGTCCGTTAGAACTATTGCCTTGTATGCCCAGAAACTCCTTTCTTAAGGGTATAGAAGTTTGATCGACCCAAGGTATCACGCGTGTACGCTATTTGCATTGATACAAGCAATGGCCTCTGCGCTCTATTTGGGATGAAAAATTTTTGACTCAACATTCAATTTATTTTCTGATGAATTCGTTTTCTTAATTTTTGTATTTAAAAAAAAACACATTACGAACACGTAGTTTTCTTTGAAACACAAAAATTTTCCAAACCTATGTCTCGTGTTCACCGTTTCGTGAGTTTCACAATAAATACTTTCTCACCTGTAGGTCATTTTGTCTTTTCTACGACATGCAAGAGCATTCTACAAGAATCTTCCATGATATGGTGAATGCTCTGACAAGTTTTACTCAGGGAATATTCACCAACCTGTCAATGCACAGCTCGTCACAGAACACAGCTCACCTGCCGAGTGCAAACACGATCCAAACACCCTCCAGTGCCCCTCCCCCATCAGTTGTGGCGTTGAGTGCAATGGGCGGGGTCACCCCGCAACCTGGATTCTCCTATAGGGGTGCATGGATACCCCTGTCTGTTTTGCCCGTTTTAGGACAAGCGAAACCTGTTTAGTAAGTGTTCATGAGAATCTCCCCGATTGCTTCTCTAAACTTTTCACTTATGCATTGTTTGGCGGAGGTTTGAATTATTTTAAACATTTCCACGATCAAATCTGCAGATTTATGCCTGTGTTTTTTCTCCAGAAGGTAGCCAACCCTCCAGGAACTCCTGCAGCTACAGGAGGGACCCCAAAGGGGAACCCCTTCCAAAGATGGTGGGAAACCTCTGTAGAACGCCTTCCCGTGGGGGAGGAAACCCTTTGAGGAACTTCTTCCCGTGGGGGAGGGAACCCTTAGAGGAACCTCTTCCCGAAGGGGAGAGACTAAGTTGCTTGACGCAGCCAAACAACAGCTGCAAAAGACACTAATTAACCGGTCAAATAACCAAGGTTTTAAGGTTTTGTGGACGTTACTTCGTGTTCAGCCGCGCGCTTTGCTAATGAAAATCGGGAAGGGGCGTCTTTGATTTTTCGGTGATAATCGTGTTCAAATACCAGACGATATTTTTCTGTAATTTGTGGAGATGAATGGACTAGCTATCGTTCGCAGATCATTGAGACATTGAAACGACGAGTTTCAGGGCCGCACAAGAAACTAGTTAATCTTAAGCCAATTACAAAAAGGTACCATTTTTTTTCTTTTCGTAGCCTTGAACAGTTAGAAAAAGAAAATTCATCGATCTCCGACGGCTACACACTCTCCATTGCGTTTGCTTGTTTGCTGGAGATCGTCAAAAGTCTTGATGTGCTTGTACAAGAAAACAATGGTGTGTCAAGTGCTGCCGAAGGGATGGGGTGGATTGAGCCTGATGTATCAGGAGCAGCCATTGAAACCGGAGTGGGAACTGACACCATCAATGAGAATGATAAAGGTAAGGAAAAGCTTTTGTTCGTGAATGACCAAGACGGAATTTTTCCTTACAATATCGATATAATATTAAGCAGACAAGTGATGAGAGAAAATTAGGGGATTATTTCTTGATCCAGCTCCAAATTCTCCGAACTTATGTCATAAGAATTGTATAGCAGACGGAAAGGGGAACTACGAATGAGATCTTTGAAGTGAGAGGGTCAAAGTGGAGCGATTTCTCTCTGAAGTTAATCCAAGATTGCTTCGTTTTCTTGAAATCTCTATTCTTTTATTTCCTTAAGTTTCTGAAATGGTCGTAAAATTAGTTTAAAGAGCATAAATATGCTTTGGAATTTACAGTAGAGATTAGAGGTAAATTAAGTTGCGATAGGTCTGTTATTTCATTACAGCTATGTGTCTCAAATTTTCCATATTTTTAATGTAGAGAAGAGAAAGTTCGTTTCAAATCTCTCGATTAATTCATTCAGCTAAAAAGACTTTTAAAGACAAGTACAGTTGGTTACAATAGACTCTTTCCATCACCAGGAAAAACCTGTGTCTCGCTTATATACTGAATTTTACAATTTGATTCTCTGCTTTCGTTATACTTCTTTGAGGTCATTAAACTATCAGAAGTGATTAACATGTAACTTCTCCTTATAACATCCATGCATTATCTAGCAAATAGGTCATGAAAATACTCAAACTTATCAAGTAAATGTTATCTTGATCTAACACCAAATTCTCGTAAGTAATTTACAGGGAAATGTATGGCAGCTAGAGAGGAGGATTAACAGTCAGATATTGGGAGTTAAAGGGTTGAACGGATTATTTTTTTAAACTCCTCCTTAATGTCTCGCTTGAAAAGAGCATACGCTAAGGGATTCACTGCAGAGTTAAGTATTAAAATAGGCAGCTTGTAATTGAAATCACCGCAACTGGAATCCTTTGAAATTACCATCACAAGGCTGCATTTCAGGTAAATGCCATAACAAATGAGAAACACTCCAATTGCAATAGTCATCATCTTGACTGCAGACTTTCCTTGAGTTTTAGCCACAAGTCGATGGTTAAAACGGAGTTGTTTTGCAAGCCTGCGGATGGCATGACCTTGTTTGAAAACAACACACAACATTGATGTTAAATAAAATAATAAAAATACACACAAAACTACTTCAAAAATCATATACAACCATCCAGTGACATGGAGAGCAAGAGTTGTTTCTAATCTGTATCGAAGTAGTGACACAAGTGCGATAAAAAGAGCGGGAATTGCCCAGGATAAGAGTATTATTTGTATGACTCGGCTGCGCCTCATGATAGATAGGTATTTTAACGGCCTCACAACAGCTAGGTAGCGTTCGATGACTAAGCCACACAGATTTGTCCCAGACGAGTATTGGAAGAACACCCTGGTAAACATTATAGGTAAAAAGCGGTCGATTGGCTCACACCAACTCGCCAACTCGCAGAAGAGATGTGAAGGAACTGTAGTCAATCCTAGGAAAAAATCTGCCACTGCTAAGGAAATAACGAACGCGTTGGTTTTGGTGCGAAGATGTCGATTCCAGCATACGAGGAGGATCACAAATCCATTACCGATAACTGTGAAGATGGTGAAAATCCAAGATATAATCCAAGCCCATGTTTCCATTTTCTGTAAAACGTTCTCGCTGTTGCTATTGCTAATGATCTAAAACAGAGATTGCATTATCATGTTTGCAAGAGTTTGTTTTAAACCATCTGCTCTCCCTAGAGTTATTTACAATTTTGTCTTTGCATTGAAAATAATATTACCACTTTTATTCAAATTTTTCAAATTATTTTGTTTGCAGGCGGTTGTTTAAACTGTCTGCTCTCCCTAAAGTAATGTATAATTTTCTTTTTGCATTGAAAATGCAAAAAGCAATTTTTCATCATGCAACTCGGTAAAAGTCCTTCTTTCGCCTATGTAATATAAACTGATAGCATAAAAAATTAATGGGTTGTTTGAGGATGTCTAGCACTTTAAATACTGTTTTTCATAGCTGTTATCGCATCGGAACTTTCTTTCGTGTCATCATAGTGGTGAACAAAATGAAACAATTATGACGAAGAAATTAATCCTTTCCGTCAAAAACCGTAAGCCCATACAGCTAATTTAATAGCTCTTATGACTTGACTTTTATTTCTACGCTCATAATCGCACGCAACTCAAATAATGGAATGAAGAAAAAAAAAGACCCTCACTAACCATATCCTTGTCCAAAATGACGGTTGAAAAGTAAACGAAGCGTTATTAAACAACACGTGAAATACATAATAACGTCCGTGTTGTTAGTAACTTTTAAACAGTTTCGCTCTGCCAGTTTCAGTTCCAGCTAATAACATGTTTACTCTAAATATAGAAAAACTTATGGAGATATTCGTATTAGGGGGGCCTTTTCTTTTAATATCAACAGTTTCAGACTGTCGAATTTTTCTTTAATTAGTCATCATTGTGTTGGTCACTTCCTTTCAACGAGTTTTTCAGTAACTCTTGCAATTAACGTAGTAGGTATAACATATGGAGCATGAATAAATCGAAGTTCCGTAGATATGCACTGAAACAAGTTGCAGTAACATTGTTGAGAAGAAAATAACCAAAAGGAAAAGCGAAATTTAATTTAATTGACATCTGGCATGATCAGCATACGGCATTAGCATATAATTTTTTTTTCAATTTTGGGAATTGCACACAGCCAGATAGTAGTTTTATGTGCTAATAAATTAATATTTGGTTTTTTTCTTCTTTTGTATGTGCTCTTTTTCTTTGACAAAGTTATTGTAATTAGGTATAAGTAATAATCTTAGACTCCATTTATGGCATGGCTGTTGAGAGCAGCTTTGAAATAAAAATAATCATTCGCTGCGTTAGTGTTCTAGGGAGTTCATTCCAAACGACACCTGGCTCTTTGTTTTATAATTATTTATTTAATGAAAAATTCTTGTATTTCAATCGTTTAAAGAAAGAAAGTACCAGCAGTATTTAGTAATTATGAATTCATTCTGTCTAATTTGTGTACGCCTTGGAATGTTATGTTAGAGCGTGCATTAGATGACATCGATTAGTCACCACGCTTGTTTTCACCATGTAGGGCTCAATTAGATGATTACTTTGCTGGTTTTAGAGTAATTTTCAAAAGTCGAAACGGTGATCCGGGAGTTCTTTGGTTTTGACTAACTTCGATTTGTGATTGGTCTAGAAAACTGGCGCCATGCTCTAAAGCAATCAAACGCTAAATGAAAACCAGTCATGACTTGACTGCGATTCTCCTTGTTTTTACTTTAAGTCCTGATTGGCTAATGATGTCTCAAAATTTCGTAATGATTGGCTGTTGTGATTACTTTGGGTTTGGTTTTACGACAGTCATCTGTTAACTATTTTATGAAAGCAATCGAATCTTGACCGATATGTATGCCGGGAAGAATATCAATAAAACTTGAGCATACATGTAGCTTGTATATGGAAATAGCTAAGAATCGTTTTTAAAAAGCTGTCATTTTTTAAGGACAAATTTGCCAAGAGAAAAAAAAAAGAAAGAAAGAAAACCTGAACTGTTAAAATAACAAATAATAATTCAAAAACGTTACCTTTCCTGAATTTTAATGTTTTTATTTATTCATTTTTCAGGATCAAAGGCACCAGATTTATTTCAGGAGATGGTGTCGGCCTCGTGGTGTGGTATTTTGGCGTCACTTTCTTTACTGTTGGAAGCAAGGTACTGAATCGCGCAATATTTTGATTGGAAAACGCATAAACCGATCGTAGCGTTAAGAAAACCTCTCTGGAGGGATCCGTTAGCCTAAATCAACTTCCCGCATAAGAATTTAGAGCGAATAATTTAATTGTTTTAGTATAGATCCACTAGTTCAAACGTTAAGAACAAGACGGGCTCGTGATTTTATTCACTATGGTCCATAACTGCACATAATTAGGCTACTCACTTCACTCATTATCTATCACGGAATAATTCGGGAGTAACGTTACCAATCACATGACAGCATTTGCAATAGAACACTGGTCGATTTTTACTAATACTGAAAAGCCACAGGAAAGATTTAATGTATTCGTTAATTGGATCACGTCTAGGAAGTAAAAGGTTTTTGTCAGTGCTGATGCGATAAAATGTCTTGCAGCAATGATGAAACAGTCACGGAATCCATTCTAAAATCCTACCAGCTTTACGCCAACGTCTGTGGTATATTGAATCTTACAACTCCAAGAGATGCTTTTATCACATCACTTTGCAAGGCAGCACTGCCCCCACACTACACCCTGACAGTAGTCAATCCCCACTCTGGTACCGCACAGGTTTCTTATGTCAAAATGCCAATTAGTGGTACTCAGGCTCTCTTGGATCCTCAAGGAGGAGATCACCGGGCTCTGGGTAAATCACCGACCAACTCAGGGGAGACTGGTTTTGGTGCTGTGGTCACAGGGACCCCACTTGGCTCTAGTCATGGTCCAGTGTCGGTGAGTAAAAACTTTGGGTTAATGACGTCATTCTAGTCATTTAAGGGCAATACTGTATTTGAACTACAGCCTAAACTTCTTAAGTCTGACATTTGCAATCATTTACAAAGAGGGGTGTCAATAACTTTTTTCATAACCAACTGCCGATGGTGGAATAGGCGAATGTAACTTAAGGTGAAACCGAAACACGGGAGCCTGTAGGCTGAACAGACGGCGGTGATTACCTTGAAACTAATGGTGTGTTTATTTCCAGTTGACAGCGAAGAACATCCAATGTATGCGATCGTTACTGAGCCTTGCTCACTGCCATGGTGGAATTCTGGGTACAGCGTGGCACATGGTTCTTACCACGCTTCAGGTGAGACAAGAATCATTGATGAATTTCGGACTCAAAAACTGAGAAATGAAGGGTTGAGAGACTAAGGAATGGGATAAAAAGGAATAATAGATAACGGACGAGATTTGAAAGAAAAAGAGAAGAAGAATTTAAGAATGAGGGAAAGAGAATTGAGGAATGAGAAGTTAATAAATGGAGATGAGCGAACGAGAAATGAAGGATCGAGAGACTAAGGAATGGGATGAAAAGGAATGAGAAATAACGGGCGAGATTTGAAAGAATAAGAGAGGAAGAAGTGAAGAGTGAGAAAGAGAATTCAAGAATGAGAAGTGAATTAATGGGAGATGAGCGAACGAGAAATGAAGGATCGAGAGACTAAGGAATGGGATGAAAAGGAATGAGAGATAACGGACGAGATTTGAAAGAAAAAGAGAGGAAGAAGTGAAGAGTGAGGGAAAGAGAATTTAAGAATGAGAAGTGAATAAATGGGAGATGAGCGAACGAGAAATGGAGGAATGAAAAATGAAAAAATGAAAGTCAAAGGAGTGAGAAACGAAACGTAGATTATTGCAAATTTAGGTGGCTCTGAACCAACGATACAATCTTTTTTGTTGTTGTTGAATTTTACCCAAAGCTATGTGTTGGCTCACATAGCTGGCTGAACTTAAGGGTTTATCTAAGAAGCTTAAGGGTTGTTATGGTAACTTACCACGTTGGGAAAACGAAATGTATTTAAAGATGACTGGAAGTTGTATGATACTTCATCAGAAGTCACGAGTGGAAATTTATGGTGCCATTTATTCTTAAAGCAAGAGATGTTGAACAAAATAAAATACAATTTATATCTCAATAGCATCTTACCTGGATTTTGGGTCTCAAGCCATCAACTGGAGGAACACTCAAAGCCATGCCAGCGAGCGAGGCCCCTAATCTGGTAACAAGTACATTTTGTAAAGAAGGGATTGTGATCACAAGCGACTAAAACGTTTATTTTCTTTGGAATCTCGTCACCATTTAAGTTTCTCTAGTTCTTTATTTGGAATCCTTGTCGATAATCCTCGCTGTCCTTAATCCACAGCCATCTCCGTCCTTTTTTCGTTGATTATTACCTCTCTAGATGTTGATTCTTTCATCTAGTATCTAGTGAGTATTTTCCCATTTTTCCATCGCTATGCGAAGATTTACGTCAGATTTTACGACGCAAAAATACAAAAAATTGCAACAAAAACAACAACAGCAACAATAAAATTAACAAATGAAATATCGTAGCCTGGTTTTCAAAGGGATCTGATCTGCACGAAAACCGGGCTCTTTTGTTTTCAAATTTGAATATGAAAGCAAAAAAATTCATTTCCTGTGGCAAGTAATCCAATTTTTGCGCTGCTTCATAGAAAGGTTATCTCTTCTTTTAAGTAGCTTTCGTCAGTTTTTATTCATCGCAGTTTTCATGCACAGCTGAAAATGTCATTTGTGACTCTGTTAATGGCTGGCTTTGTCTCTTCCAGGTTATAACACAAACAATGATGGCTGAACTTCCAGTCTTGGCTGCAATCTTATCAAGACTCTTTGAAACATCTAAGTACGTTGTCGTAGAAGAATTACTTATTTCGCATTGGAGCAATTTTTAGTCGAGTGATGAACATAGTCTGGCATTACTTTGCTTTGCTTTAGTTCGCTTCTTTATCGGTTCAGGAAACTCCCTCCACCGTCTCGACCAGTCAGATATGATACTTGAACCAATAGCGAAATGTTCACTTTCATCTTCACTGAAATTTTTCCGATTTCAAAAGGCTTTCCGAGAAAAAAAAAAAACGCATATTTGTTATGCAGGCCTATCCGTGGCCTTTTCTCGTCAACACGTCCTCTATAGCTCAGTTGGTAAGGTATCCAAACTCAAAATCGCAGGAACTCGCTACAGTTCGACTGGATTCATTCGGGAACTTTGATTGTTTCGTATGTTTTTAGATACCTGGATGACGTAGCCCTCCATCATCTTGTAGACGCACTTTGTAGATTGTCGTCTACATCCATGGAACAAGCTCAAAGCAATAAGGTAACAGAAAAGTTTAGAGTAAATTTCATGGCTCTAGTTCGATCGATTTTCAATCTTGAAATGTTCAGCCGGGGTTTCCAAGTGCTTGACACCCTTTTTACTTTTAGTTTATTATTGTCTCCTTTGTTTTGTTCAATCTAAGCGAAATAATACTTACTGTCGTTCATTTTAGGAACCATCTCTCTTCGCCGTTGCTAAGTTATTAGAAACAGGCCTAAATAACCTTCACCGCGCACGCGTTTTGTGGAAACCGCTGACCGCACATCTGTTGGAGGTAAGTTTTTTCACTGCGACGAAAAAACGGAAGTTGTCTTTCCAACCCTTACCTCTGTAGGTCCTTTGTGGCTGTCTGCTACTTCTCGCCTGTACCACCATTCATGGCATATAAGTTTGTTTGTTTGTTTTTTGTTTGTTTTTCAAGGTTTGCCAACATCCTCACACTAAAATGAGAGAATGGGGCGCCGAGGCGGTGACGTCATTGGTTCGCTCAGCTCTGACGCATGACCACGATCCACCATTGAAACAAGACTTGGTAAGTCACGTGGTAGATATTATAGGCCAGCCTCGTTGTATAGCAGTGTTAGATCATTCAACTCGTTTGCTTCTGAATGGTGAACGGATGGATGGACACTGGGAAAGAAAAAAGAAGGACTAAGGGTCGGAATCCTATAAAATTTATGGCAGTTTACCAATCTTTATCAACTTACAGTTGATAGCCAACTAAATTTAATACAGAGATAGACACTCTCAAATCCGAAGTAATCATGGCTAATTAGAGGAAAAGAAATTATCACTAGCAGCCAATGAGAACTCTTTGTAAAAACCAAGCAAACTGCTTGAAACGCGGGAAACCGCATTCGGTTTTAAGTTTGAATCTGATTGGTTCAGAAAGTGGCGCAACTCTCTGGACCAATCATATAGCGAAGTTAAGCAAAACCAATGCAATCCCTGATTACTTAGTTTAAAATTGCAAGTCGATACGAACCGTTCAGTCAACCAGTCAAACGCATGGATAGACAATGGTAGACACTCAGACAGGTTGTTGCCATAGATCAACTATGATTGTACAGCGTCTGTGGAGTTGCTCTCATAGGGAAAACGGAAACTAACGCTATTATCTTCCCTCTGTCCTCTTCCACAGCAATTACAGTCCATGCTTTTGGGTCCACTCCAAGAAATGTCCACTATAAGTTTCTCTGATATTCGCTATAAACAATTGGAATGTGTTCTTCAGGTGAGGGTATTGCTCAATATTTACGTTAAATGCCAATCTTATTTTGTGGTTAAATGTTTCTTGTCTGGTACATTTTAACGTAGAAACCTCGAATTAAATTCATTTACCTTAAACTGTAAAGTTATTGATATCCTTTATATGCTTGTGTTCAAAAATGAACGGTCGCAATAAATTTCCATCAGCCATTTGAATGCTCGATGAGGTGCCAGCAAATTGTTTTATGACATGGGCAAATTCACCTGCGTTTATCTATTAACAGAAAATTGGAACGAAAAAGCTCTCAGTTTTCTTGAGGTATCGGGGTAAGTTTCCGAAAAATTCGAACTAAAGATTAGAAAGTTTGTCCCGAAGGAAGACGATACAAATCCTTACAAAGTTCTTATGCATTAAATAAAAGCCTTGTTTACTGTCCACAGATTCTTCACTCCACTGGTCAAAATCTTGGTCAGGGTTGGTTATGTGTGTTGGGAGTTATCGGAGCGGCTACTAACCAACAAGGGTGAGATACGTGTTTATATTTCATGGCCTGTTGACTTAGATAACCTGCATCGTTCTACTGTTCTTTTTTGCGAACATTGTAGACCTTGTTTGGCCAATGTAAATTTGTTAAAATGTAGATAACTTTGATGAAGAATTGGAATTCTAGGGATAGGCTATATTATAGAATTTACCGGCAGCTGTTGAGCGGGCCTAATTTGTGTGTGTGTTTTTCAAGCTAGTGAAGGCAAGCGCGAGTAACGTACAATGCGAGGATTGGGGCAAAAATGACGCCGTTTCTCTCGCACGACACTCCCACTTCACGTTCGCCTCGTGCTTTACTCGCGCTTGTACGTTGCTCTCTGGAAAAATGCAGAGAAATTGCACCTTTACCGTAGCCTATAATGTGTTCTGTACTGACCACAGGAACACCTATAAGTGATTTATTATGGAGAAAATGAAAACTTTAACAATCGGGTATCCTTTTGGTTGTGGAGCCCTAACAGCGTAGAACCAGTTGCCTTATGCTTAGGTGCACTAATACGTCGATTCTTCTCCCACGTTGTTACAGGGAAGGTCTTATTCGCGTGGCATTCCAAAGCCTGCAGCTCGTGGTGACCGATTTCCTTCCCTTGATGCCTTGCACGTGCATCAAGGTGGTAGTAGATGTGGCAGGAAAATTTGGCCTCCAGCCTCAGGAGCTGAACATTAGCTTGACAGCCATTGGTCTGTTGGTAGGTTACCGGTCTGGGCCAGAGCCATGGTTATTTTATTGTAGTGTGTTGTTTGGCAAGACACTTCACTCCCATTGGTCCTTTCTTCACCCGGGACGAAACTTCACGAAACTTCACGAAACTTCACGAAACTTCACGAAAACTTCACGACACTTCACGATACAGCAGGGGGAGGGGGTAGAGTTCGTGTCTTGCTAGTGTGGTAGCTTTTTCGTTCTTCCTTGTTTGCTTATTCAGTGTAATAGGCCATTTTCAATATATATTATGATTCAAATTTGGCTCCGAGGCTCGGGGGAACAAACCAAAGGGAATCACATCGAGGCTGAGGAATGAATAATTAATTTCTTTTGTTTTATTCCCCCTAGCCTCAGAGCCATGCCAGAATTTTAGTTCATCAAAATTGGCCAATTGTTGGCCTGTTGTTTGTTCCCTAGTTCTCCCTGTTTTTCAGCTCTATTCCCTCTTTTATGCATGTATTTTCAGTTACTTTTGAGTCTTTTCCTTTGCCTTTCTTTTCACAAGAAACCTTTTAATTTTCGTAGCTAAAACTTCCCTTGAAATGGGCGTAACAGCACCAGGTTTCGTTGAAAATCAGAAAAATTTTTAATTTTGATTCTTTATCTTCGTGTTTAGTGGAATATCTCCGATTTTCTCTCACAACACCGAGAAAAAATTCGCACAGAGTTGCAAGACATTGAAACGACCTTAAATGACAGTGCTAAGTACGACAAACCCGTCCCCCCCTCAGACAGGCAGTGGATGTGTTTGTATTCCAAACTTGGTGAGTTGTGTGTCGACCCACGGCCAGCCGTCAGAAAAAGCGCAGGACAAACGCTGTTCTCCACCATTAGTGCGCATGGCTCGTTGCTGGAAAATATCACGTGGTACACAGCTCTGTGGAGGGTAATCATTGCTTTGTTATCTGTTGATCAGTTGCTAATTCTCCATTCTGGCTCATTTATATTTAGTCGTCAGTTAGAAAAGAGAATTTAATTTTGGGTCAAGTGAACACCCCCTTCCGCCAGCTGATTAATTTTTCTTTTCTCTTCACTGTAATATCAGATGATGTTTTGAAAGGAGATGTTATACATTAACCTCTTCTTGGTGCCTAAAGGGTTGTAGAGAGGTTTTTTCCATTGATTGTCCGCTCAAAGCTTACCTCATTCCCATGGAGAATGTAAGACATGACATACAATGTAGTATTCATTTTCCGACAGGTGTTGTTTCCTTTGCTTGAACAAGTGAAAACCATGTCTACTTCAGCAGCTGATGTTCCTCCTCCGAGCGATGCAGTAAACTCAAAGAATAAAATCCTCATTCACCATTCACGTGATACCGCTGAAAAACAGTGGGCGGAAACTCGTGTTCTGACACTCAGTGGCGTGGCGCGTGTGTTTAACAACCGGCGCCAAATTTTAGCGGGCCTTGATGAGTTCCCGCGCGCATGGGCGCTTTTGTTGGAGTTTATTGAGTCTGCGGCTTTGAGCAAGTCCGCTGAAGTTGCACTGGCGGCTCTCAAGAGTTTTCAGGACATCGTTCAAGATTCGTCAGAAAGTCAAGAGGGTGCTGGCGCAAATTCCTCAAACACAGGAGACAACGGGAATGACAAAAGAGTAGCAAAGGGAGCTGCTAAACTTAAAGTTAAACCTAAGTTTTGTGAGGCAGCAGACGAGGATTTAAATCTATGGACGAACGCGTGGCGTGCTTGGTACAACATCGGCATAACAAGCATGTCTGAGGCACATATCGTCAGAACTCGCAGGGACTCTTCTGGAAAAATCACTACAGCTAGAACTTACCCTGCGCAAGCTTTCCTGGCAGCTTTAGTTCAGATTTTTCCTTCGCTATTTATGAGAATATATAGCCGTTTTGGCCTGGCTGATCTACAGAAGCTTGCGCGAATTCTACAGACCTCTGTAACTATTCCTGTACATATAGATCAGTCGCCGTTTTTAGTTCCTTCATTTCAGGATACTGTGTTAACAGCGTTACAACACGCTATTCTGGATGCTATTGAAATTTTGCGCGAGCCTCTGCCTCATTCTTCCAACTCGGTTCTCCACGATTCAAAACAACCAATGTATCCGACACTTTTTACACTGTTGCTGCAGTTTTTTGATTATGCGACAGAACCTCCAAAAGTTGACGATTCGTCTAATGCAGAGGCTTCGAGAAGGAAGAAAAAGGAATGGATTATTCTATCGTTGACTCCGTTCTCGGAGAAATGCATGGAAATGGTTGTGGTACTCTACGGGGAATGTTTATCTGAGCCAGCTGTTATAGAGGAAAAAGTGTTGGAGAAAATCATCAAGGTACGAAAGGCAATTAGCTTCTTAAATTTCTTTATATCATCAGTATGTGGTTCACTCAATAATGAACAAATGATGAAATTTTCTTCGGAAATTTATGAATTAGGTAGTTATTTTCCGATGTACAACAAAGTGATTGAAACAGAAAGCAAAGCTTCTTTCAAACGTATTTCATAGAACAAAACCTGGGGAGAAGTTATTTTCAAAGGCCAGTGACAAAAAAGGGCAACTTTTTCAAACATGAGGGAATTTGAGCATTGCTTTTAAAAGCTATGGCAATAGCAAACGACAATAATGCACTTAAATTTTATTCAGATGTCAAGGAATTAATTTTTTTTCCGTAAGCCGTAAATTTCATGCTTACTTTCCTCGTGAAATAATCGCTTGGACAAATCTGAACGAATGTAGCCTTCATAGCTGGCAGTTCTGTGTGCGCCTTAGCCACTATCTCCCGTACCAATCCTCTCGCGGCTTCGGTGCTTGCATTCTTGGTCTTCAAAGCGCCCACAAAACCGCCAGCTAGCAAGTTGGAACGAAAGAGGTTTACTTTCGTTCTGAGGTCCTATGCACTTAACGGATTTTTACAATTTTTGTATTGATCTGGTGTGGAGCCTTTTTTCTTTTGCCTGCGTGATGAAAACAAAAATATTAAATGGATCATACCTGTTTCCAGTCTTTGCGCAATCCTCTTCGTCTCAAGTACAGCTGCTCGTCACAGTCCACCTGGAAGCTAGCCGTAGATTCATTGATGACTGTCATTCGTAAAGGACTCAATGTGGCTCTCGCACGACCAGGTACCGTGACTTAAATTGACTTAAATGACTGTTTACTTCATGAAGCTTATCGTTTGTCAGGATTGGCCACCGTACGGAGCAAGATAAATCTATCTTGTCCGCTCAAGAATGTCTACTTTGTTCTCTTTGTTCCACCCCTTCCCCCAATAT